ATCGCTGCTACAAACTCGGGTCTACAACTCGGGCTTTCAAGTGAAAACCCAAGGGTCAGATCTTGGATTTCGTCAGAGGGAAAGTCGATTTTCGCCAAAATCGAATTTTTTCGCCAAGTGAATGATGATTCTGTATTTATTTACCCCTTAGATGTCAATGAAACACTCAGAGGCGACAGAAATGTCGAAAAAAAAAAATTTCATTTTCACCTGGATCAAGAGTCAGATCTTGGATTTTTTTAGAGGGAAAGTCGACTTCCCCCAAAATCGAATTTTTTCGCCAAGTGAACGTTAATTCTGTATCTACTAACGATTCTGATGCTAATGAAACCCTCGGGGGCGTCAGAAATGCAGAAATGAAACATTTTTATTTTTACCTGGGGCCCGTGTCAGATCTTGAATTTTTCCAGGGAGAAAGTCGACCTTCGCCAAAATTGAATTTTTTTGCCAAGTGAACGTTAATAATGTATCTATTAACGATTCTGATGCTAATGAAACCCTCGAACCTCGGACTCTCCAGCCAACTGAACATTCAGCGCGCCAAAATGGACCGGAAAAGAACCACTAGAACCTTTATGGCGCCCCTATTTATGGACTACATTCGTCTAAGTTGACAGCCCCTGTTCGATGAGAGTCTGTTCGTCAATGGAGTGAATGCTGCCATCTCTCAATGTAGAATGACAACAATAATTATGATCGATCGTGAATAGAAATAACTGTGACCCTACTCTACCGACGCTGTTTGACCGATCGCAAGTCTCCTTGTCTGCTGTGAAAATGTGCTACTGTGGGAAAAGAAACGAAACCCCTCCATAAAATCCCCCAAAATTCAATCAAACATTTTGCCGGGCAACAGTGAAGGAAGCCCCCCGACTTCCGGCGGAACATAACCAACTCCAAAACACCTATTTGTATTTTGTCAGTGTGTGGTAGTCGCAAATGATCACGTGATCGAAGTGATCGACTTCATCGCGTTCAGTGGCCACGAGGTTTTCTGTGGGTTGAAACATTTGATAAAAAAAAAAATTGAGTGTCTCTACGGTGATTTAATAGTCGTGGGTGTTTTTACAAAACAGTGTATTCACCCTCCATCATTGAATTATTGTACATTAGTGTGAAAAATGCCATCGAGCAATCCATTGCCACCAAAAGAGAATGCATTGTTTAAGCGAATTTTGGTGAGTAACCAAGCCAATGAAAATACATGTTTTTACACATCGCCCCACTCTCTCCAACACCATTACGAAAATCCCGGTGTTCAGAGCATATTTGTGAAGGCCTAGTGTTAGAGCATTTCCCTCGTTACAGATACAAAATGCGATTGATGATTCATTTATTTACAGGATCATTCATGAAATTATGAGAGGGGGTTTTCAATTCTTAACCTAAATCATTCGTTCTTATTCATGAACTTGATTTTACGATTAGAGCCGTAGGTTTAGATGCTCACTCATCAACTTCACAATGTTGTTACGATGATTTTACATATTTATTTATTTTATTAGTCATGGAGTAATCCTATTTTGAGTGCAAAGAAATGAATTAGAGGTGAAAAATTGTTCGAGATTTCGTAGGATTTACGCTCGCCCTATAACCTAGCTTCAACTTCTTGAAGTCTCCCACGACCTTTATTCCTCTTCACGAATGATTATTAGTGATGAATGATCAAGTGAAATGTTTGACTGAGTGAGAATAAACTTTTCGTTGGGGGAAGAGAGGAAAAATTGTTGGTTTTGTCGTAATTTTTTAAAGATTGGTGAATAATTTCTGTCCCTAACCTCTCAATTCTCCTCACTCCAGTACCGAATCGATGATTAATCGAGGGCTTTGATTACAGAGATGCTACGAGCACAAACAGTACAAAAATGGGTTGAAATTTGCGAAGCAGATTCTGTCGAACCCGAAATTCGCGGAGCATGGGGAGACCCTGGCGATGAAGGGACTCACCCTCAATTGCCTAGGTAGAAAAGAAGAGGCTTACGATCATGTACGAAGGGGCTTGAGGAATGACCTACAGTCACACGTTTGTTGGCACGTTTATGGATTGCTACAGAGATCAGATAAAAAGTACGATGAGGCCATCAAGTGCTACCGTAATGCACTCAAGTGGGATAAGGATAATTTACAGATCCTCAGGGATCTGTCGTTGCTTCAAATACAAATGAGGGATCTTGATGGTTACAAGGTAATTTACATACGCAGTTTACTCATGTGAAACGTTTTGAAACATTTATTGTTTGAATTCAGTGGAGGCAAATAATTGAAATAAATATTAAAAATTATTTCACTCATGGGAAAAGGTTTAAAGGGAAAAAGTATAGACATCGATTTGTCTCCACAAATTTCAAAATAATTTGTTTACATTGTTTCCTAAAACCACTCATTTTTAAGGTAATTTTTCAATTATCTAAGTGACCAGTGAGTGTAATGAAAAGAAAAAACAGGAGAATTTTTTCATAAAAAAAATCCTGCAGAAATTCCATGAGATATTCCACCCATTCGACTCATAATAATTCCTCCAACAATGTCAACATCCCAAATAATAATTGTAATAAAAATTCAGTGAAGGAGTCAGGGGATTTTGGAGAAATAACAGCAACGTTGATTAAATTGTGAAAAGAAGCGACGTTTCACCAGTATAATTTTGGCTTCCTCAAGGTCGCTTCTTTTGACAATTCAATCAACGTTGTTGTTATTTCTCCCAAATCCCCTGACTCCACTGAGTTCATTAGTGCGGAGTTGAGTGTGAAGATAAATTCTAATGAGAATCTCGCCATGGAATTCCAGGACACTAGATACCAGTTATTCATGCTCCGACCGACTCAGAGAGCCTCGTGGATCGGCTTCGCAATATCATATCACCTCCTGAAGGACTACGAGACAGCCCTGAAGATCCTGGACACCTTCCGCGACTCCCCAATGATCTGCTACGACTACGAGCACAGTGAGCTCCTTCTCTACCAGAACCTCGTGATCCAAGAGTCCGGGGACAGCGAAGCGGCCCTCAAGCACTTGGACAAATACAGCGATCAAATATGTGACAAAATAACGGTGAAAGAGACCTACGGAAAACTCCGTCTGGAGCTCTCCCAGTTCGCTGAGGCTGTCCAGGTGTACAAGGATCTCCTGACGATAAATCCAGAGAACACGACTTACTACGCTAAACTGGCGGAGGCTGAACAGCATGAGAAGCCCGAGGACACTCTGGAGATGCTCCAAAGATACGAAGAGCTCTTTCCACGTGCACTAGCACCAAGAAGACTGCAATTAAACTACGCAAGTGGTGAACAATTCAAGAAATTAGTCGATCAATATTTACGAAGGGGTTTGCACAAAGGCGTGCCACCTTTATTCGTTAATCTACGCTCGCTGTACAAGGATCAGCAGAAGGTGGATACGATACAGTCACTCTTGCACGAGTATAAAACTGCACTGAGGAAACATGGACATTTTAGTGATGCTGAAGAGGACAATCCACGTGAGCCAGCCTCAGCATTACTCTGGACGTACTACTATCTTGCACAGCATTATGATTATCTGGGTGATCATGGGAAGGCACTCCATGACATTGATGCTGCATTGTCACACACACCCACTCTCATTGAACTTTTTGTTACCAAAGGACGCATTTATAAACACGCTGGCAATGTGCAGGATGCCTACAAGTGGCTCGATGAGGCCCAGGAGCTGGACACTGCTGATCGTTATATTAATTCCAAGTGTGCCAAGTACATGCTGCGTGCTAATTTGATTAAGGAGGCTGAGGAAACGTGTGGGAAGTTCACGAGGGAGGGGGTACCACCTATGGAGAATCTTAATGAAATGCAGTGCATGTGGATACAGACTGAGGCTGCCAATGCTTATCAGAGATTGGGGAAGTATGGAGATGCGCTGAAGAAGTGCCATGAGGTGGACAGAGTAAGTTTTTTCGTTTAAAATAAAACTCTTCGAGAATTGAGAAATAATCGTTATGATTGGGAGAATTGGGAAATAAACTTTATTAATTTTGGGAGGTGGTAATGAAGGAAGTTTACACATAATGCTTCATTAAACTGGTAGAGAATAATTAAAATTTAAATTTTTACTGAAAATTCAATGAAGTTTCGGATTTTTCAGCAGCAGAGAAATGAGAATTATCCAAATTACCCTGAATTTTCTATTAATTGGGAATTTATGAATATATTTACTTGGTTTTCCCGGGTGTATATAATTCTCATGAAATTTACAATTTTCATCGACTTTTCCATACGTTTGTGAATTTTGAATGACGAAATTCTTTAAAATTTGAGCGATTAATATTCAACAGTGTAATAAAATTAATTTCTCTTCCAGCATTTCTCGGAGATAATCGAAGATCAATTCGACTTCCACACGTACTGCATGAGAAAAATGACTCTTCGTTCATACGTTGGCCTTCTGAGGTTAGAGGATGTACTCCGGTCCCATCCATTCTACTTCAAAGCTGCTAAATGTGCAATAGAAGTGTACCTCCGACTCCACGACAATCCCCTGCCCGACCCCACGCAGATCCAGGAAATCGACACCGGTGAGTCTAATTCAATTATTCCATTCCCCTCCGGAGAGTTCGAATAATACTCTCGTTGTCTTACCACCGAGACTTCGATGAAGTCGGCTCTTATTTGCGTGAGAGTGGAGTTGCCACGTCTCGAGTTAAAAATAGTGATGGAGACAACGAGCAACGGAGACGAATCCTGTCCAAGATTAACCCATGACACAGAAATTTGATCACATTTTGGATTAAGGGGATGAAAATAATTCCATTCGCCTTCCACTCCGCTTTATTTCCGAGTAAATATGTGTTTATTCATTCAGGACATTGAGTCTTACATCGACTTAACTCTACTTATACTCAATAACGCAGAGAAAACAAGCAGGAGTTCGAGCCTCTCAAATTAAAAAAAAAATGGAAAACGGCAACATTTCGTAAACTTTGAATGGACGGGTGTATATTTTAAAAATAACTAGATGACAGACATCGAGACGAATATTTTTTAAAACGAAAAATTGAAATCGGATGAAAAGTCTTTGAGATATTTGACAATGTCAATTATAGGCCACAATTTAAGATTTTTAATCCTTTTTTTTTGAAGATTTATTTATACGAAAAAATCCTACAATTTTGCGCGCACAGACGGACGTACATACAGGGATTTTCTAAAAACATCATATCTCGACATTTCATGACATTCTAAGTCGTGTCCAGGTAAAATTAGAGAATCACAAAATCCATCGATTACATTCATTTCCATTCGGAAGCAAAAAACAGGACAGATTCAATTAATTATGAAATAACACCATAGTGGGATATAAATAGTTTCACCCCTACAGTTGCGTCACATGTGTGCCTCGTATAATAAACGTAAAATCTAATAAAAAATCATTAATCACAGACGATACAAACACACAGGAGACAATGGGTATACTTCAACACAAAATGTTTCCTTTATTCACTAGTAATTAATCAATCGGTAATTGATAATTAAATTAGGTCATATTTACATGAATAAATACAAATAAAGTGACGAAACATAATCCAGAGCAATTTGCTGATACAGCAGTCGCGTATGACACAGATTAATATGAAATTCGTTGAAAAAACCATAGTATGGCATGTCTTCCCTGTCAGTCGAGTTTAGCTCTTACCTTGACAGTTAAAAAACACCTAGAGAATTTTTTTTCTTTCAAAAATCAGTGGAAAAATGATGAAACAAGATAACTCTTAAAAAATTTCAAAACCCAAAATGAATAATCTATTTTTTACCAACAACTGGACTTGAAGTTGACTCATCTCGTTTCTCCACTCCTCAACTGACTGATTTTCTCAAAATTTTCATAAGAAACCAAAACCTACAATTCTCAAACATTTCTAGGCCCTCGTCTCTGCCTCGCGGAAGCAAATGAATTGCCCCCCTGTCTCTGTGAAATAGCGTGCGGCGTCAGAAAGTAAAAATGACCGCCATCACCAGGTAATCTATACGAAAAATAAGAGCTCGGTTTACCCTGGCTCGGCTGTTCATTGTTCACCGGATCAATGAACTCGGCGTTGGGATTGATGGGTGGCCTAGGATCTCGATAATTAACAGCAATGTCACCACTGAGTGATACTGGTCTGGCTGGAAACTCTCTCTGTCCCTCCCTCTTCTCGTCCAAAGGAACGAAGCGAGTGGGTCCAGCAGGCTCTCGAATTTGTTCGCTGTACTCATCCACGGGGATGTATTGCCGGATGGGTTTCGAGACCTTGAACCTCTCGATCACCTGTTCCCACTCGTTGTCCTCTTTGGGGCTATATTCAGATGAAAACTCGGCGTCAGGATTGATGGTTGGGCTAGTGTACCGATAATTAACAGTGGGTCCAGCAGGCTCCCGAATTTCTTCGCTGAACTCATCCACCGGGATGTACGGCCTGATGGGTTCCGCAGGCTTGAACCTCTCGATCACCTGTTCCCTATCGTTGCCCTTTTTGGGGCCATATCCGGGCAAAAACTCGGCGTCAGGATTCATGGGGGGCAGGGGCTCCTGGTAATTGACCCTCGTGTCCCCCTCCAAAGAGAATGGCCTGTGTGTTTGGTCACCATAATGCACCTCAACCCTAGGCTTACTGTAAGTCTTCTGTCTTTCATCAAACGAATTCGTAGAGAACGAATTGACAGTCGAGTAATTCGGCCTCTCCGTGACACTGCTCTTACCGTAAATTGGTGTCGTTGACTTTAATCTATCTCTGTTGATCTTCCTCCCGAAATTAGTGAAATACTCCCTGGTAACGTCGTCCAACAGCCTCTCCTCCTGCTTAGTGTAATAAGCGTGCTGTGGATTTGGCGTCGTATCAACGACATTTGATCTAATCGTTGTTGTGGGATAACTCGGGGTTCTCGTTCTGTAATGACTCCGTTCTGGTTGTAATCTCTGCTCGGGAACAACCTCGGTGTTATAATCGTTATACTGGGGATCCACGTCCTGTATCTCCTCCTGCCACTCGTTAAACGTGACTTGTTTTCCTGGTTGTACTTCCTGGAGGGGTTTGTACAGCTCCTTCTGTCTACCCCGCTGGGCGTAATCTGCGGCCTCAAAACTGTACTGATAAACTGGTTTTGGTTTCTGTTGTTGAGGCTGATTGTATCTCTTTGGAGGTGGGGTTATGAAGAATGAGTGGAGATTCAATTTGGGACGCTCTGTGACGTTTTTGTAGAAGATTGGGGAGTCTGACAGCATCCGCTGGGATTGGGACCTTGGGGAGACTGGGAGGGTGGATGGGGCTGGATCCGTGTATTGGTACCTGGGGGATGATGTCTTCACCACTTGTTCGATTACTTCCACTTCCACGTCGTATTGCTGGGGTGTCCGTTGGGAGTTGGTGACGTCCACGTGGTAGTAAGGTTTCTTCGTCCGGGCTTCAGGACTCGGATAGTCTTCGATGCTTGCGGGAGTCGTCTCCTGGAAGTAAACCGGTGTTGGGGTGGTACCAGACACATCGTCACTAGCTTCCTCGTAGAAGTAATAAGACGCTGAACTTGGAACTGACGGCAGAATCTTTCGTGGTTTCGTTGTCTTCGCTGCAATCTCAATGGACTCCTCAATCGGTGATGGGGATGAAGCGTAGTAGGCAACTATTGGCGGTGATTTGAGGCCAGAACCAGTCCAACGGGGCCTCTCATTCTGGTCTTCTGTACTCGTCTCGATAACCTGATTCGTCACAATCGGTCTCACCGTGGTTATTTCCGAGATCTCTAGTGGGCTTACTTTGTTAGGAACTGATGCTGTCACCTCTACAAATGGCAGAACCTGTTTTGGTGTGTTTGTGGTTTCCGTTGAGGAACTCGTGATATTTTTCAGCTTGAATTTGTTAAGAGGTTTCATCGTAAATGGTCTTGGCTCTTTAGTTGATGATGGGCTTGAACTTGATGTGAACTTATGAGGCTTCGGATTTGATTTCCGGTGGAAATGCGTCGCTGGCTTTGCCGTTGTACTCGGGCGTTTTGGGTACTTTGTGATGTGGGATTTCGTCGTTTTCTTTTCTTCCAGTTGGGAGAAGAAGTCTGGCGGCGGGGGAAGGATTATGCCGGGGACTAGGGGGCCTGGGGGAACAGCAGTTGAGTTGTCTTGATTGTATTTGAAGCTGTAGGGGGGTGGGTAGTAAATTGATTGATCGTCCTCGTCGTAGTCTGACTGGTTACCCGGGGGAGGGAGGAAGACGGCGCCTGGGGGTAACGAGGGGAAAAAGGGGCCGACTATTCCCCCCAGTGAGAGGCCTGATTTTGTCTTTCTGTCGTTCTGGGGATTCTCCTTGGTTGTGGCATTTCGATCGGAATAGAACAGCGTCTCGTTTGCTGGGATGAGTCCGTCGAACCATTGGGGCTTGTCGGTGTCGTTGGAGCCTAGGACAGTCACTGGACCTCCTTCATTCAATTGAACCGGGAATGGCGGTGGAACTTCCGGCGATGCCGGAATCTTGACCTGCCTCTTGGGCGCCTGGAAGTCGTCGATCGGTGACCAGCCGCGTAAATCGCCCGACGGCTGCTCTTTCTCATGCTCCGGAAAGTTCCCACCTCGGAGGACTAGAACGTGATTCTCGGCCAGCCAAATTTCATCCTCATCGAGACCTCCGAGGTTCTTCGCCGTGTCCTTCGGGACTTCTGGGTTGGACAGGTAGCTGAGGATTCCTGGACGCTTTGACTTGCTCGGGTAGATCTCGTCCTGAATTAATCCGTATTTACCTTCCTTCACTTGTTGGGCGAGTGTCTTCTTCTCGTCGTCGTCATCGTGGGGCTTTTTGTTCTCCTTTCCGTTGCCGGCTGAGGAGAGGGTGAGGCCGTCGTCCCACTGGGCCTCGTCCTCCTCTCGGGATGAGGGAGTTGTGGTGATCTTCATGTGACCACCCATTAACCTAGTGGTTTTTTGGTCGGGCTTGTTGGTGACTTCGTTAGTTAGAATTGTGGAGAGTCTCACTGGGGCGTCATTGGAGTGCCCGCGGATCTCCCGGAGGGGGCGAGGGGTGTCGGATGCCATTGCGCAGGCTGATAGAACCGCCAAGTAGACTAGGACAAGCTTCTCGGAAGCTTGCATCTGGAAAGAGAGAGGTGAGAGAATCAGTGGGAATTCTATTTTCGTTTCGATTTCGTGGAGATTAGACACACCATTCATCTGATAATGAATGATTGATCGGCTGATTAGAGAGAGATACTAATGACTCTCGAATCGAGAATTTATTTGATTTTGATTGATGGGAAAATGAGAAACATGAAAGTTGAAAATGCTCTGAATTATTTGTAGATTGAATATTCAATCCCATTTCACATTAATCGATCGGATAGTGTTTATTATATCCGAGGAAAAATTAATCTTTACTAGTTTCAGAAACCTTCGCAGCGTAATCTGCACGCCACATTTTATTAATTTTCTCAGTGATGAGTGACATGGGAAAAATTTGTAGAAAAACGTCCCTTGACATGTCAACAATAATCTAATTTCAACATCTGTTCCTTATGGTTTCGTTACAGATCTCAATCTCAAACTCAATTTGACACAGCAATATTGAAAAAACATCTATCATTATCGATGAAATATCGAAAAATTTCTCTCCGCTGTTTCAGTAGATTTCGCCATTCGAGTATGAGCTCAATTATTTTTTTCATTAAGCAGTTTAGTTGATGAAATATTAGTTTCTTCCCCGTTTCCACGATAAATTTATCAAATTAGATCATTTTTGCCGATGATTCAGGCATTCATTGATCCATGATAACAGAATGTAACGTATAAAACAGCCACGCCTTTCGCTAGTCGGTGAACGTTTCTACCAGACATTCACAGGTCACTGGGAGGTATGGACCAACGTCGTCTGTGGGGGGGCAACATAATGACGTTTGAGTATTTCAGACTGAAAATTCAAACCCATGAGATACCTGCAGGCGTGTTTGCACGTTTCTACGTGGGTCTACGTTTCGTGAGATGCATTAGACTAGAGGTACTGATGTTTGCCATGGTTATTCGAGATACCGTATCACGGAAGTTGAATGGTCTGAATGAACGGCATTAACGTTTATTTGCCCTGGCTTCAGTCTACGTTAAATTGAATGCACCACGTCAAAATTCTATTCCAGGGATTAACTGAATGTGTAATGAGAGAATTTTAATGGTCACGTATCGTTTACTAATGAGGGCTTTCATTAATTTGGGTAATTAAAGGGGAGGAGTTGATGATTGATTAGTGATGGATAGTCGAGTTCGTTATTTCGTAAAAAAAAACATTGCCGTTTATTTTCAGAGGAGAATGTTGGGAAACTTTTTTTTGTGGGAAACGATCTGTTACAAAATTTGTTATTACATTTTTTCCGCAATCTGTAATAATTATGAAAATTTGAACTGTTCGCCGATCCACAAAATGTTCTGCTAGATTAATCCATGAAATTCCTTGCAAAAAATGGCTGCAGAACAATTCATAAATAAATCAACGCTAGCTTATTTTCTGTCTCAAGAAATATTACATTACCCCGAGAGAACAAAGTTGATAAATAAAGTAGTAAAACCCGGAGCAAAATTAGATACGAGATCAGGCACGTGACTCTGCCACGTTTTCACCACCTTTCCCACCGCGTGAGGTCCCTTCAAGGACACCATGTACTTTTCCAATTCACATTTTACAATAATGGAGGAAGTCAAATGTAGGAGATACAAAAAAAAACATCGCCAAACAGATCAAACCGCTCATAACTCAATAACTACAATCAACCAGTCGATGTTATTAAAAATAATCACAACGCTCGATCGATTGTACTTCCGGGGGTGTTTTCATTTCATCTCAATGACGATAGAAATTCTCTCGCACTTTCTCGGATCGGATGTACTCCACACCTTTAATTTCAGTTTGGCTATTTCCGTATGTCCGCCCCTCATCTCCCCCCCCCCCTTCCCCTCTCGGAGATAATGTCACGGTATCTTTCTTTATCAACTTAAAAAGGAAGTTTACATTTTATCCTAAAAACTTTCTATTTGAATTCAACATACACCGCTGGTATTTTTTCCCACGGGAATGAGAATTGTGTTGAGAAGAGCACTTGCATGTTTTCGCAAACATTGAAATGAACTTTATCCTCACCTCGTCGTCCAAAAAACACACACATGTGAGTACGAAGAATTCAAATGAGGAAGTGAGAATACTGAAATGAGAATAAAATGGGGGGAAAAAAAAATTTAAAAATGGGAGTTTTAGGTGACTCTGGGTGTATTCACGGTTCGTTTCACTTTTCCCATTTTGTCCACCCGCGGGGTCCAATCTCGGGACTCTCTCACGCGAGTTAGTATGGTCCCAGTTAAAAGTATGTGCTCGGGGCGTGTACGTTGGGTGAAAAAAATGAAAATGGTTCGTTGCAAAATCAGAATTGATGGTTGGAATTGGGTTTGTCGGCTTTAACGGAATTGATACACATTTTTTTTTATTGATCTAATGGATGTATGGATAACAAAAAGTGGTTGTAAAGGATACCGGAATGAACGTGGAGAGAAAAATTCGTTGAGAATTACCCCTGAATTTATAGGAATTTTCATTAAAATGAATTTTTATTACATTTCAACTATCGAGATGAATCACTCCGGTTGAATACAATTCCCTTGAATTCCTTTCAGCCTGTCAACATCAATAACTGGGACACTTTAACATTCGGACATCTATTGTTCCATTCGTTCTTTCGTAATTTTTTTTTCCTCGCCAACGGAATCTATTAATTTTGATTAAAGATAAGTGTTGGCCATTTCGATGCTTTATTTCTTAATGTGTCTTTCAATGATCGAGCACATAATCGTTTAGAGGTGATCATTTTTTTGGGCCCATTGTTGTCAGTCGGTTTTAATCACTTCTAATAAACCCCTCGGGGGCGTATCCTTGGACCTTGCACTCTATTCACTGCTGAGACGACGGAAAAAAATGAATGATAGTCAGGGAAAATAGAGGAGAAACAAGAACGAGACTGATTTATAAGAACGGGACAGGAGCACATGAGAGTGAAAGGCCAGTGTGACCCAGGGTGTGTCTGGGCAGTTTCAACACTTTTCACTTGCGCTACAATTTTTTTTTCCCCACCTTTTGTACTTCACCCGCTTTTTGACATTACACTGGGGTCCCCCTCAATAAACTAACGATGAGATTATACCTATTATAGGCATGTGGAGCGTGGAACGAGTGACGAAAAATATTTGTTAGGTTTTACAACGAAATTTCCATTTCTAATGGTCAATAATTCTTATACATTTTGTTACGCATAAATTGGGTATTGCGAGTGAGTTATGTGGCTTTGAGAGCCCGACTGGTTTTCAATAGTAAGTGGAGTTTACGAAATACTCCACTTTGTCTATTTATTTTTGAGTTCTCACAGACGATATGAATACAACTGTCAAATCGTAGAAATTGTCCGGCCAAAATGTCTTATATAAAAAGGGGATGTCACACGCTTATTCCTAAATATCTGAAAGAGAAATCGCATACATGATGATGATGATACTGATTTTGTGGATAATATTGATCTTACTGATGATGTTGGTGATTGCCAACGGGGTATGTACACGGAGAGAAAAATTCAATAAAAATTACCAGAAAAAAAACGTAAGAATTACGTCTCGAAACGTAATCCGCGAGCGAAGTAAAATTCAATAAAAAGTGTGAGTCGGAACTGAAATTGTACGAATTGCCACGTGAATTCTACGATTTGTTCCGTAAAAATTAACCAGCCGTCTGATGATTCACCGCTGTGGGGAAAACAAGTCGTTCCGTAATTTTTCCCCAACGATTGAGAAATTTTACGGAACGGAACGTAGAAATAACTCACCAACTTCATAAAAATTGTTGCACGTTCAAGAATTTTTGATTTTTGAGGCACAATAAGTCGGCAAGTTTCTGTAAGATTTTACTTTTTCGGAAAAAATGAAAATTCACTGAACGTTTCAGATTTCTTCTCTTCCATTCCTATAAAATTTACCGAAAAACGATTCCCCATTGCGGATTAGGTGAATTGATCCGTAATTTTTGCTGAATATTTCTCTCCGTGTATTCATTCTCAATTGAAGTTTTCAAGGATTTCGACGAATTTTTTAAGGACTCTTAATAGAAGTTTCGATGGATTTCTGTGGAAAATCATTCGCTTTCTAATGCAAGTTTTCATAGCTTTCGTCGTATCCCCTATTGACTCTCGATGGACATTTCCATTCCTTATCAATAAAAAAATAGTAGATTTTCAATAGAAGTTTTCATCAGTTCCCACGAATTTCTTCTTAATAATACTATAGATATTTGTATACGTGAAAGAACATTTTGATTCCAATCAACTTCAATAATAACGTGATGAATCATATAAAATCTATCAAATTGTCAAGCGCGCCGAGCGCGCCTTCGATCTCGTTTTCTAAAAGAAAGTGGATTTTTTTTTTTTAATGATCATGGTCTGACGAGTGCGTAGATTATCTACTTATGTCAATATTAGTCTTCGCAGGACATTAAGTTAGGATCAGAATTGACTCAAGGCAAGGCTCAATCAGTCTCGAAGATTTGAATGCAATTCAAGATGCAAAAGATTGAATTCAACGACAACCGACATAATTCCTAGCAATTCTGTAATTTTGGTTTCGACTTTCGTGTCTGTAAATGTTTCTACCACTTAAATTCCACCTGTTATTGAGCTCTCACGTGATGATCAACCTGGTGAATCACGAGGGACTAATTGCAGCGTTAATTACCCATACAGCAGAATTTCAGTATCACGACCGAGGAATTATGTCATCGTTTCGATTAAATCTGGCTAAATTTATCTTTCTTCCTCTCAGACAGTATTTCGTAAACATAAAATTAATCGGTAATGACGTAGTTTTCTTTTAAAAGAATCAGTGAATGCTCCGCGTTGAGCCAAAAATAATTCGCGGCTTCGTGTGAATTTTTACGTTTTTTTTAAAGTCCATTGTGGAACTTGTAGAACTGGAGGGCATTTACTTTCGTTGGCTAATCATCCGGAACGCCAAATACACCAGACAACTTCGCTGGTAGTTGTTGAAAATAATGACAAGTACAGGGGCTTTAAAACCCT